GTCTAGTACACTGATCTTAAAGCGAGGGATTACGATACGATTGGAGTGGGTTCGCCGTGGAAGTTGAGGTGCTGAGTAATGCTCAAGTGGAGAAAAAGGCAACAAAAAACCGTCGAGAACGCTCAGAATGGGATTCCTTTCTTTGCCCCTTAACCTCCGACATGGACGAGCTAGCAACCAACTAAGAGATCTTTTGCACACCTCAAACCGATAACCACCATCATACCAGCAAAGGCATGCTTTGAGTGGTAACGAGATCCATGAGGAAAATTATATGATACGCACTCAAAGCGGAATACCTCATCAAAACGATAATCGAAGGACGGTGCTGCTGGGGGCGGAAAAGTAGGGAATGGCAAGCCCAGTGCCTGAACTAGCGCACCTTTGGCTACAAAACCGCCACCTCCCCTCCTTCGACCCCTGACTACTACTTCCACTGGTGCATGTACTTCCACGCTATACACACACTTTAACGTGGTCTCTCGCTTTAAGCTTCGATAGTGTCAAGAGAGAGGATGTGATGATAAATACTATCGTAATGGGGAAAAAGTTGTGAAAGTTCTCTGTCGCTTAGAAAACTCAAAATTTCTTGAAAGTTACCTCTTTCCAGACCCTTCAAAATTGCGTCATTTCGTTCAAGCATGACCACCTTCATGAAGAAATCCCAACGATCCATCAGACCTGGCTCGAAGGCTCAAGGATTGCTACTTTTTTGTGGTAAGAGTTTTGTGTTGGAAGAGCAATTCCGAAAACCTAGAAGTGATGGCTATCCAGGAACTCAACTCGCTCTGCCCTCATCCAAAAGCTCTACATAAGAAATTCATTGAAACTTGGTGCTTCTGCAGCATTCGCCGCACCAGCGGTGCAGTAGCCGCCGCGCTGCGGCGGCGACCTGACATAATCGCGAGACCTGATCGTCTCCCAAGGATGTCTAGGGCGCGATACAACTACACAGATTGTGTAAGCAGATCTTTTTCCATTGATTTCGAAGTTTTGCAGCATTTTTCATTGTATACGTTCCAAGCTCACCCATTAGTAAAAGGCCATGACTAAGCGCAGGTATTAGTTTCTCTTCTGAGCGCTAAGAATATCTAAACAACCTTGAAATTACAGCCGCCGTAAAAAGAGTATCGAACGGCCAACACAATTCTTCAGGGTGCCAGACTCAGATCCTGCGCAGCAGTGCATCGAGACCCAAGGAATGGAAGGAAATGCTCATGAGAATGTCGTCCATGCTTCTTTCAAAAACTCGAATCGCTTTAAGTTGACCAGCTTCCTCGAGACACGCCACAAATAGAGCGTTTCAAAGCAAATCAAGCCGTCTTAGAAGTTTGCTCTTCTATAACGATGTTAGGACGTCCGCTTACGAAAGAAGCAGTGTCTCCATTGTTCCAAGCAGGATCGGTGCAAAACAGACATAGCTAGAAGTAGGAAGACTTGGTTATCCTGTCTGTCCAACGGTGCAAGCAGGGACTGCTATGTACAGTGTCCAGCTACTGCTTTTATCGTTCCAATGCGAACTAGAACTAAGAACAAAAGCGATGTTAAAAGATAAAAGATAGAGCAGTCGGTGTCGATCAATCCCATTTTGGGATTGCCCCACGCATTCTACTTCCATTCAGAATCGTGGTGAGAAATTGAATGAGATTGGGCCTATACGGTGACTTGTGGAGGCGAGTGTAATTAGTGTTTTTTGTTGCCCTCTAAAACAAGCCTGGAATCAGTTGAGTGACCGCGGAGGGATGGAGGACTACATAGTTGGCCCGGACGACCCAGGATCCGATTCCCCGGCGCGCGCGTGGTAAAAAGCACCACGTACCGCACGTCTATTCCGCTCAATCTTCGGCATTTATAACTGATGAGTTAAGTACTTAACCCAATGGTAATTATTCGAAAATTGTTACAAGGTTCTATATGATGTCCCTCTCAGAAGATCATTCGAGACTTGATATCAAAACAACTCGAAGTCCAATTGCTTTTTTTCCAAGACTTGGCGTTCTCACGAGAGATTCGATTCCACTATTGATTTAGCGAATGCTCTCAAACCCTGCATAAACATCGGGCGGATATCCCATTCATGAAAATCCCAACTCGGTAACATCAGTGAAACATTAGTGATATACGGTTTCTGATTGACTTCAAGACAGGGTTTCATATACACGTCACTAGCAGCTGTCAACCCCTGCAATTCATTATGAAAACACTGAGAGAACGATACCATGAGAAGGAATAATAATCTATAATTCTATGAGAGAGAATATGTGACCACAAAAGCATACGAATAGATACAAGTTTTTGATCTGCACAACCTCCTCCAATCCTTTTTGAAAAACCCTGTGAGAAGTGATGAAATGAGGTGCCACAGAAATCTTTGCGGTTGAATACGATTGTCTTCCACTTCCCGGAGTGGACCTTTCAGAACCAATCGATCACGTTACAGTCTGAAGATGTGGCGCTTGAATGCTAGACGGCTTCAAAATTTTGGGATCTCATGGCAAAAACCGAATTAGCACATCCACGGCCGCGCCCTTTTCCATTTTCCTGCCGCGTGGGACGGAGATTTTGTGAGCGCCGCCGTCTAACCTCACCTCCGTGAATTTTGTAATGTAAATGAAGAAGAACGTGAATGTCGCAAAGTAATTTCAGCAATGTTCAATGCGTAAAGATTATCTAAACACAGAATAGTAGGATGTCGATTAAAACGACAAATAGTAGTAAAGAAAAGAGAGCATTTGTGTTGTTAACACTGCTCTTTTTTTCTTTTCTCTGTTTGCCGATGGCGCACCTTGATAAATAAATAAATAAATTTATTCACTTTCCCCGTAAAGGAATGTAAAAACATTTTGGACTTGATTGCGTGATTAAACAACCTATTTTTCCATTCATAGCGCCTAGCAAGCAATTATCAGCTGGCAACTCATATGGGCTGTCATCGTCCCACGACCACAACTCTGGAGCAGGCCGTATGGGCTGCTGCCGGCATGAATGTCTTAAAGAAAAAAATTACAATGGAGGCGGAGAGATATGATTGTCTGAAGGCCAGAAGCCGCCATCGCGTGTCTGAGGTCTTACTTACTTCCTCCAAATGAAAGTCTGTTCATAAACCTTGTATCATCAGATTGAAAACAATCTGGCCCCGCGCGGTTGCTGTTAAATGAACTATTCACTGATTTGACGAATAATGTATTACTTTCGACTCCCGGAGAGCTTCCTTGGGAGATCTGCCATTTGGCAAGCTTTGCTAATAGTAAGAGAGAAAACCTTCTGTTGTGGGTCTGAGCGTAACTCGGAAAACAACAAATGTGGCGCAATAGGTTCCTCAGCCTAGAAGTGGAGAGTGTCGTTACTATTAGGTTGTCTTATAAGTAGTGGCGCATTTTTTCAAACGGAAATTTTTCTTGTAAACCTCTAATGTTTTGCAATGTTTCATACACCATTCGATAGGAAAATATCTGCTCTACAAGAAGGTATGTACTCTTTTTTTGATTGTTGCAGATTGTTTGAGTTTTAGGCATGCAAGGGGGGGGGCGGAAGTGGTGCAGTGACAAGTGGCGCTTCATCCACCGAGCGGTCCGGGATCAAATCCTGGTCGTGAGTCGCCCGGGCCAACCAAGCCTTCCATCCTCCGGGGTCGGTTAATTGGTACCAGACTTGTCTGGGAGGATAAAAAACACTGACTTGAACATCGGCTGGCCCCGCAAGTCATTGTATAGGCCACATCGCATTCAAATGCCACTGCGAATGTACAAATGGAAGTAGAATGCGTGCCGCATCCCAAAACGGGATTGATCAACGGCAATGCTTTATCTTTTATCCTTTAGGCATGCAAAGTGGGAGGTCCGGGCGACGAATTTTCGCCAAACCGACAGCTGACCTAAACTTTATACTTCCCTGAAAGAAATCAATCAATAATGTGACTATAACTTACTCATAACCTCTATTTAACATTCCACATTTAGGTTCCCTAAAAGCTTGTCTCGTTTAATTTTGAGATGTAGTTATTCCAGTCAAACTCGGTGGATGGTGGCGCTCGATCCTTGGTTGAAGGTAAACAGCAGAAGATGCCGGAAGTGTTCCTTTTCGTCGACTTGACATATCACCATTTTCTATGCTGAAACTCGATCAGGATTGAGATCAAAAAATTCTGCATGTAAGTAGAGCAGAAGAAACGCTTCCTAGAGGTGTATAAAGTAGCGTCAATACTGAGGAATTGAATGGAAAATATCAGTCTGAAGGAAGCCTATGGGTTGACAGGCAACCACCGAGTTGCACTGGAATAACTACTCTCAGAATTAAACGAGACAAGCTTTTGAGGAACTTAAATGTGGAATGTTTAGTAGAGGTTATGAGTAAGTTATAGTTACATTATTGATTGCATTTCTTCTAGAGGAGTATAAAGTTTAGGTCAGCTGTCGATTTGGCAAAAATTCGTCGTCCGGACCTCCCTCTTTGCATGCCCATAACTCAAACATTTGCAACAATCAAAAAAAGGGTACATACCCTCTTGTAGAACAGATAATTTCCTATCGAATGGTGTATGAAACATTGTAAAACATCAGAGGTTCACAAGAAAAATTTCCGTTTGAAAAAATGCGCCACCACTTATGAGACAACCTAATAGAAGCCTAGTGCGGCCAACACAGACCAGTCTACACCCTTTACTTGTCCAAGGTACCAATTCAAATGTGTTCACGACTAACACATATAGACAACTCTCTTCTAGACACATCCAGAGTAAGAACTTTGCAATTCGCGATCTCACAAATATTGCGGCTATGAGCAATAGCATAGGTTTCCCTGATACAAAAAACAGCTGGCCAACCGCTAATTATCAATGTGAACCTTACAACATTTCTAGGGACGGAACATTAAGGAAAGAATGCGACGAGGGTGCCATGTGGGATATGTGGAAGTGCACTTCGTGCTCATTCACTGGACGTATAGCACATGTTATCACAGAATTTCATTGGCATAAGCCCGTGATCACAGTCATCACTGCCTCACGAAAAATGAAAGGCAATGCAATCGTTTGGTCTCACCGTATTCTCGCATTGATAGTAGTACATGTTGATGCCCCAGTTTCCGGTTTTCTTTTGTCCGTCGACCACTTCTCCCGAGTAAGCGCATTCACGGATTGTTGATTTCTTGCTTTCAACAGTCTGGAAAAAAAGCGCATTTGATGAGCTATTGATCACGCATGCTCTTAAACATCAACAGCATTAAGACTAAGCTGCGAGGCCAAAGCAACTTTTTCACACATTGCTTCCTAACTTTCTAGCTTAGTTCGATTTTAATCTTGCTTTATGTTGTTTCTCCTTGAATGTTTAACTGATGTGTGAAAGTGACCTGAATAATCTTTCGACAGCCTTTCGCCTGTGATCCTTTGAATGTTCCTTCTTGAAGAACTGGGCAGCTCTAAAATAGCACAATGAAAAATTCGGCCACATTTTCCGTGAATCGCAATCACAAGAACGTCGCAAAACAATCGCCCAAAGGAGACAATGCTTTGTGCTGCGTTTAACCCTTTGACTACGACTTTTTCAAAATCAAGTTACCGGTGTGTTTTACGTGAAAACTATCGCTCCTTATAATATTTGTTCACCCGTAGAAGTTTGGCCGACCTACGCTGGATTTGACATGGAAGTTTGATCCAGGTACCATGCGAGCGATGGCGGCCCCTCTTTTCACCACATCATCACCGCTCGGATGAGTTTTTTCAAATGTAAATTGGTAACTTGATTAACAATTACGAATACACAATTTCCGTGTCTCCGCGGGACAAAACCAATGTACCGTACTCTGAAATTTCGTGGCATGGTAGAAAGCATTTATCCTAATGAGGCTTCTCTCACATATCTGTTCTCGATCCATCGCAACAATGAAGATTTTTCTTTATCATTCCACAATCGCTCGTCGCGTGGCCTCGGGATTGATCATCGCTTGCGGAATTCGGCACAACCAGTCTGGGTTTATTTCAACAATGGAGTCAATAGCAGTAATGAACCTGAGGAAAATGCGGGTAGACCACATCTAAGAAGCACTGCAGGGATTCGTAAGAGCCTCAAAAAAGTATCTACAACAATGGAGGAATCGGCCAAAAAAAAAGGTTGCTAGGGTTGTCCCAGGAACACTCATTTACCTCTTCCGAAAGGATCTGACTTTCAGTAGTTGTAAATCTATTCCAGTCTCTCAAAAAAACCGATGTAATGGTTAGGGTAAAAAAGCAAGATCGTGTCAAACCAGATCTGGTGGGGGCGCTTTTCGAATAACGTCTGGATGGACGAGAAGATCCTCAGCTGGAAATGAGTAACTGTTAACAAGACAGCAGACTGTTGTCTGCCCCGCCCAGAAGGCAGTTCTAACTACGTCACGTGCACCGCTAAGTGCCTTTTTTTGCTCTCATGAGTTGAGGAAAAGTTACTTCCGGAAGCAAAACCTCACTTGTTTTTTTTTTGTTGCCTGGGGAAAGTCAGCCAGAGTCAAAGATAAGACTTAAATGGGGACACTTCTGCATGATGCTCTGTTCCCTGGACGGCTTTCAACTTTAGCGGTCATACTGTTTTCGGCATATCAGAGCGCCGGCGCAAACCACAAAGTCTGAGCTGGAGTTTCGCCATCTTGATGTTCAATGAATAACTGACCTGTCAGTTTGTCCCACCTTACCAACTGAAGTCTACAAGCTGAATCTTCAGGTGAGGAGGGTCTGCTCAAAGCAGCTTTGCAGCTTGCACTTTTCCAAGTATCCTTCGCAGAAAGTACTACAAGAACTCACAAGGGAGGTCTTTCAGGACATGGAGCGCTTTTTCGGGATGGTTTTCTGCATGTAGTAGGGATTCATGCGAGGAAGACGTTCCATTTTTCCTGAACGCCACGAACAATGTCAAAATAGTGGTGAAGAAATGGTCCAGAGCTCGATCCCGGGTGATGACTAATTTTTGCAATATAGTTTGGCACCTCCCAGATTGCCGCCAAATGGCGCCATCATTGAGAATAGATGTCACTGTAGTGTTTTGTGGCAATTTGGAGGCGCCACCATGAATAGCAAAAATTTGACATCACAGTGGATCGAACTATGAATCCTTTCTTCCCCGCTGTTTTGACATTCCTGGAGGCGTTTAGGAAAAATGGACCATGGCTCTGTCTTCTTCCTGCGCAGTGGCAGGGTCCGCTGTCCTTGTCAGTCGTCGCCACTTTGGTCTGTCCAGGGCGTCCTCTGCCGTGGCCATGACTTCACTTAGATCCTTCTTGATCACATCTCTCCACCTCCTCTTTGGGGCTCCTCGCGGTCGCTTGCCTTTCACTTCGAAGTCCATCGCTGTTCTTATCAGATGATCCTGTGGCCTCCTTAGCACATGTCCATACCATCGTAGATGCTGTTCCCGTACCTTCAGCTGAACAGGGCAGTCTGCACCGCCCTGACATTCTCGTTTCTGATCTTGTCTAGCCGCGTCCAACCGCAGGCCCATCTCAACATCCTCATTTCGGCAGAGTGCAGCTGCCGTTCCTGATTCTTGTTCAAGGCCCAGCACTCGCTGCCGTAGAGCATCGCAGGCCTTACCACTGTCCGGTACACCATCCCCTTGAGGGCTCTGGAGCACCTTCGATCGCAGAGGATTCCACTGGACTCTCTCCATTTTATCCATGCAGCGTTGATCCGAGCCTTCACCACCTGATCCACACTGCCATCAGCTGCCAGGTCGCTCCCAAGGTAGCGGAAGTCCTCCACCCTTTCGATGGTCTCACCATGGCCGTCTCTGCACCCTGTTCGGAGCTCAGGTACTTGGTCTTCTTGACATTCAGCCGTAGCCCGCCTTCTGCCAGTACCTTCTGCCATCGCTGCACCTTGGCCTGTAGTTCCTCTCTACTATCCGCTATCAGGGCGATATCGTCAGCGTACAGGATGGACTTCAGTGGTCCTTCCATGAGGCCCTTCACCATGGTATCGAGCGTTGGGAGGAACAGGAAAGGGCTCAAAGCCGACCCTTGGTGCACCCCAACCGTGATGTCCACCTCCTTCGTAGGCCGTGAGGGGCGCGTATAGCTGCTTTGGCTCCTTCGTCTATGTCCTTCACCAGAGAGATCAGGTGTTCTGGCACGTTTCGTTCCCTGAGCGACCTCCACAGCACTGTTCGCGGTAGCCGATCGAAAGCCTTCTTCAGGTCGAGGAAGGCTATGCAGCAGGGTCGGCGTCTTTCTCGATGGATCCCCATCACTTGCCTTGCGATGAAGATGGCATCCGTTGTAGATCTTTAGGGCATGAACCCGAACTGTTCCTGGGAGATCGGGACCAGATCCCGCCGATTCTTATCGACCATCCGCTCGCATAGCTTCATTGTATGCGCAGTTAACTTGATCCCGCGGTAGTTGGAGTAGTCCATTGCGTCGCCCTTCTGTTTGAAGATGGGGACGATGGTACTTGTCCTCCATGCATCCGGCATCTTTCCTTTCACTGTTACCTTGTTCAGGAAGCCGGTGAGCCAACTTATGCCGTACTCTCCGAGCGCCTTCCATGCCTCGATTGGCACCCCATGTGGGCCAACCGCTTTTCCAACCTTCATCCTCCCAAGTGCACACCTAAATTCATCCTTAGTCCAGAGTGCGATGGGACCAGCTGTGGCCTCTGCCCGTGAGTCGTTCTTATGGGAGAATCTCGTTCAGAAGCCCCCCCCCCCTAAGATGACCCATCGCTACCTTTTACACTTTTCACCACCCTGATATCTTGAGTAGCGCGATGGCGGGTCTTAGCAAGCCTGAGGACGAACTTCTCTGCATTTCTGCTTTCCAACATGTCGTACAAGGCGTACATTTCCGTGTTCTTCGCCTTGGCGACAGCAGCCTTAGCGAGCCTCTTACAACTCCTGTAGGTGGCGAGGTCTTCGGGGCTCCGGGTCTTTTGCCAGCGCTTGTATGCCTTCTCTGCTTATGCTTCCTTCTTCCGCTTCACGACCCGCTAGACCTCCTCGTTCCAGAACCACGCTGCCTTGTCTCCTCTGAATCCACCTCGCATCTCGCCCAGGACCTCCTTGGCACATCGCAGGATGATATCAGCCGCGCTGCCCCAAGTCCGCTGTATTGGCCCGTTAGGATCTGGGAGACCGACTCCATTATCTTTCGCCTGAGGTCATCCTTCTCCGCTTGGTGCAGCTTCCACCACCGGATTCTCCTCTCGGTTCTTACCCTTGTCTTCTTGGGGAGGTCTATCGCAATGTCTGCCAGGAGGGCCCTGTGCTGGGGAGCCAGATCTTCGTCGGGTAGAGCTTTGATATCCTTCACAGTTTTGAGGGAGGATCTTCTTACCAGCACATGGTCGATTTCCGTCTGTCTCCCTCCGCTACTGTAGGTTACCTTCTGAGTCTTCCTTTTCGCGAAGAGCGTGCTGCAGATCGCCAGATCGGGGCCGTAGCCAGGTCCAGGACCCTCTGTCCCTCGGCGTTAATCATTCCTATTCCTCTACCTCAGTGCACCCGTTCCAGGCCTCTTCTTTCACTGTCTACGTGACCATTCAGATCCTTTTCCATCCATTCCTGCGCGTCATCAGATCAGTAACCTCTCGGGACTTCCCAGTTAGCGATCCTACGTCCAGACTCCCAATTCGAACTAGCTTCTTTGGCCGAGGCCGTTCACTCCTCGATAGTCCTCGCATACTGACCACAGAACTCGGGCGAGGGTTCTGCGCGCCACTTCCGGGTGACGTCCTAGCTTTATCACTGATTCCTTTTTCGACTTCAGACATATTTGTTGTGACGGGGGTCTTCATCAGCCGGCCTGTCAACCTACTGGGTACTGGAACCATTTCTGCATTTTTTTGCAAGGCATGGTTGAGAGCCTCGGCAGGGATCGAACTCGCGGTTTTTTAGAGGTGCCAACATGAGTCTAACCTCCGGCTATCCCCGCCTCTGAACCATGGCTCTGTGATCCTCACATTAGCTTCTACAACATTCAGAGAACCATTTCGAGGGAACGCTCCATGTCCTCAAAGACGCAGCTCGTCAGTATCAACCAGTTGCACTCCACGCTGGTATCAGTGAAAACACCTGAGGCCAGTATCGTTACCAGAAGAGATCTTTGCTCATGTCTTGATGATTGTTATGCCGCTATACAACGTTTTTCAGAGAAATAAAATTTACAAACTAGTGGCATTCTCCCCCCCCCCCCCCAAACAGCATCAACACTACCACCGCCAACACTTGGGTAGTAGCCACCTGTATTTGCATGTGCGAAAATAGGCTAATAGTACTCATCTTTCCATGCTTTAGTTGTGCGTTCAAGCCCAGCTTCTTTCGTTACCCCTTGTTCTGGACCAGTCGCACTAAATTAAAATTCAAATATTACCCTACCTTGATGAATGGCTTCAACTTTTCCAGTTCGCTCAGCTCACAATCTGATTGGTTATCACTGCTTGAAATGCACTGATAGCACTTATATTGGGCACTGAAAGATAATTGAAATGGTTCATACTAACTGAAAACAAGTAAAAAAAACAGTCCATACAGGCACTGCCAACGCTCTCATAAATATTATAAAACGTACGAAGATACATTGTGATGTGTCATGCGTGCAACATTAATTAAAAATAACTTAGCTAATTGAATGTGTGGCTGTGCACGCATTGCCCTTGACTGGTAGCAGCTGGTATCCAAATCAACTTGAGAGGCAGCTCACAATCATTTCTATTAGCCACCGAAGGTCTTGAGATTGCAAATGCTTTGAAGCAAGCAAATTACGCGTTCAGTGATTACTTCGTTAGAGGCATCACTTGCGTACCACGAAAGAAGATCCATCGCGCGCCGAGAAGGCAAAGACGCAGGCGGGTCAGCGGACGAGTCACAGTGCGTGCTGTAGCGATTTAGTGTCAAGTCAAAACGAATGTGCTACAATACGTCCCACCTAAGTGATTCTACGGCTGAGCTCAGCTATACCACATATGGGGCCGGGTGCAGCAAGCCTCAACGAGGGGATGGGGACCCATCCCCTCACCCCGAGGGGATGAAATGAATCCCCTAACCCCAAGGTTGGACCCATCATTTTTCGGTGGGTCCTATAACGCGACCATGCAAAACGGTCACTGCCGTCGATTTTTCACGTTGGCATCTAAGGGGACGAATCCCCCTAGTCCCGACTAGGGGAATATATCCCCTGCCTGCAGAGACTCAGAGGGTCGATTCATCCACTCGGGGTAAGGGGATGGGTCCTCATCCCCTCGCTGGGGTTTGCTGGCCCCTGCTTGGTCGCGCTGGTTTGTTTGTTTTCTTTGCTTTATTACGTTTTTCTTGACTCGTCTACCCCGAGTGCCTCCTCTTCTTGAGTCTCTTGCTTTTTTGCCATGAAAGTTATGATATTTCGTAAATATTAAAACGTGGACAGCTCTGACATTTTTGAGCCAGCGCGCCACTTTTTTTAACTCCTTTTTTAAAGAGTAACCTATCGCATCTGTAGTAGTTAGTCTGTTATATCCAGGATATCTATAACCGTTTTTCATCGAAATTTTTAGTCATGGTAAGTTACGCATGATCTCGTCCCTCTTTAGAATTTTTTTCTGACCGTAATAAAGCAAAGAAAACAAACGAAAGCGACGCGACTAATCGCATGTTGCATTTTCGAGCTCACGGCGTGGAGTCAATAACGTGAGAAGTAATATAGTACACCCTATTCAACTTGACGCTAAATAGCTACAGCACGCTTTCGTCCACCGATCCGTCCACTTCTCTGCCTTCTCGCCGCGCGACGGGCCTCTTGACTAATGCCCTCATCTTTTTATGCTGTGAGATGGCAGGTTTGGTAAGCACTTAGGGTATGCCGTTCCCACAACGCGGAACACATGGGTGCCAGCACTTTGTAAATTCAGCGGCTCCTGTGCCTAGCTAGGCAACTACGCGACGCTGCTCTTGCTCATATTCCAAACTCTCTTGTCTTGTTCATGTGCCTGGTCTCTCGTCTCGTTCGTCTGTTTCTCATATAAGCGCCTTTTCAAATCTCTGCATCCTTAACATTACAGTCACCTTACTGGAAATCCACTCCGCACCTGCGTTTTCATTCCTATTAACAATAACCTCATCTAAGTGGTCGCGAACTAGCTTAAACCAGGAAATTGACAGTATGCAATACTTATAAGAAAGCTAGACTTTTATCTGGCGAGCTGTCAACCGAAGACAGCAATTTGCTACTGTTGACGAGTGAGGTGGTGCAAGCAAATGGTAAGTTAGTTCTATTTGTCTAAATTTTCAAAAGCACCATACAAAGGGTTACTGACGGACCGCCTCCTTCCCTTAGAAAATTTATGTGCTGAACAATATTTATACATATCTATGACTGAACCATATCGACTTGCGTTTAGCTGGCAAGAGTTAGCTTCAGAAAATGTAAAATATTGGCTCCAATGAACAATTAGAACTGTTCAATTGATCATCGTACCCAATTACATGATCGGACCACCTACATGACAGACCTCTTTATACATTTCCTTTACCTCTTCAACATTTCCTTTAACTCTTCACAATATACCCATTATTCTAGAATATATCAGTCCGAGGTAATCCACGGCGATTTTGGGGAGAAATTAACTAACTAGGCTTTTTTTTCTTGGATATTACACTGAAATTCGACATTTTCCTGGCAGTTCCTAACATAAAGTCAGACCCATCAATAATGCTATGCGGAAGTACATAGTCAGAGTAGTTCCAAGGAAAATTCCAAGGAGTCGCATTTTTTGAGAAAATACCTGTAAATTTCAAAAGTTAGTGGTACTGTGTTTCAAAGGGTCGGAGCCTTAGAATACACGACAGGCTGAGAGAACCGCTAGACATCGACAGCTCTGACGAAAGCGGCCAACCGAAACATAAGCCGAATAAAGTCCTTGTGTCATCTTGGTCTTGCTTACAGGAAGAAGCTCAAGAAGATTATCACACACTATGCCAATACTCACTAAACGTCGAACTCCTGTGCGTCTGGCTGTAGTACTCATTCAGATCTTCACTACCTTCATGTACGCTATGGTTTCAATGGGAATGAGGGAAGACGTTGAGGAGCATTCAAGGTAGAGTAGGTGCTTCAGTCACTACTCTAGACTTTACTACCTTACCTCACCCATGAGGCTTGAGAAGTCTGCTGCAACGGCAAATCTACAATATTTCAAAAATTACCCCGTCATGTCGTTCCTAGCACTAAAAATGCGTTTTGCGAAAAGGATAGATGTTCTGCGCAACTGATTGGGAACAGACTTAGATCTTAGCCAGCTGCGGAATTTATAAATTCTTCTGAAGTCGCCACAAAAGCTAAACCGGAAATTACCATTTTGACTTGTTTTTAATGGACAACTGCTGTTTTGCGCCGCAGTTTGCGTTGCGAAAGTTATCACAATAATGCTGAGTTGTGGGCAAAACTTTCGCCTCAGCTGGGATTCGTACCCGGATCTCTTCCTTTCCTCGCAACTGGATCCGAGTACGAATCCTAGCTGAGGCGAAAGTTTTGCCCACAACTCAGCATTATTGTGATAGCTTTCGCAACGCGTACTGCGATGCAAGACAGCAGTTATCCATTGGAAACAAGTCAAAATGGTAACATCTAATAGAGCTTTCAGCCTTGTGGTTGAATGCCAAAATCGGCCTACCAGTTCATCACTTTATACGTGTGAATGCTGATAGGCTATGGTAACTTCACCATCGAAGCTGGGTTGGGGTGAAATGGTGCCCCGGTAGTGTAAGTGGTAGCACAAATAGCCCGGAAAGCAAGAAATCCGGGTACGAATCCCGGCTGGGGTTGAAAGTCTTGCTCACAACTCAGCATTCTTGTGATAGCTGAACCGGGGACGTTTTGGCGGAGAAAGCGCCAGAAAATGTCAAAAATAAGTAGCTGCGGTGGCACACCTCAGTCTTGTGGGCCAGGCATTAAGCTTGTGCTCAATATCAAAATTTTTCGGGCGGCAACGACTTCGCGGTCGTTAGCACTCTTTTATTTTCAGGTGACCTTCCGCTCTTAAGCCTAGTGCCTCCAGTGGGCTGTGGGCCAAGCTGCCTCAACCGGTAATTTTTACATACAGTCCATATCTCGAAGTCTGATTGGACGTGTCATCGGAAATGACGTGGCGGCCAGCGCACTTGGTAGATGTCGTGAGGATTCTTATCCTACTCTGCTAGATATCAGCGAAGCATGTTGAAAGCAGCTTATTCGCGCAACTTCTATCAAGTGCGGTGGCTGCCACGTCATTGCCGGTGACATGCCCAATCAGACTTTGAGATATGGGCTGCTCTAAAAATTTTGAAAGTGGCCTTCACAGAACAGTTCCTGCAAGTGGCCTTCACAAAACAGATTCATGGGTACACTTTTGGATAAATCGGCACTATTGCACCATTAAAACCTCAGCGTGGGCCAAATGTGCTGAAAAAACATTCTGCTGAAAGTTTTCCTATGGGGTTATCGTGGGTCCCGGTCACGGATATGGATCCATTATCAGTCTTGGCGCAACTTTGTCAGGTTGTAAACCTTTCTCTAGGGGTATTTGGTGCCCTGATTACGAACATGACATTCGCTTTTAGGCTAGCGCGCTTTAACGCATATTCGTTTTTCTGGGTTCTTTCACTTACAGTGCGTAACCATAGAACTGAGCCTAGAGAAAGGGAGATTCCAGAAATGGCATTCCTAATTGCGATCTATCTGATTAGTGAGAGGGCGCAGACGAGCAGGAAATAGATGTCAAATAGTGCCAGCAACAAAAGCGAAATCATGTTTGTACAAGGTGGGGCAAAATTATTGGTGCACCTACATATAATGGATTCTTTTTCAAATGTTGATATAGACTTTCTTGTTTGATTCTTTCATGACATGTAGCTTGAACACGCTGCTACTAATACGCCCTGATCACCATGTGGTAGGCCTTCACTTTGCGCTGTGCACCAATCAACGTCCAACAGAGCTTTGTGCGAAACTGTTCTCGACGAATTTTCAAATTCTCAAATGTTGTTCAAACACCATTCAAACTTGGTATTTGCTCAAAACCATGGGCGTGTCTTTACTTTGGAGAGAACTACGGGTGAATTCATGCAAGGTGGCTCGGAAACTGATCTGAGTGATTTAGCGCACGTGACCAAGTTACAGTACCTCAATAACTTTGTTAAAAAGAACGAGAGACGCGGACCGCGTCTTTTTCTCTTTTTTGCTATAATTTGTTTTCTGATCACTTTTGACATAAAAAACTTACCATTAGACTCAGCTCGTCACGTGCTAATTAAATGTCCTCTCAGATTTCAGAAAATTTTCATTTTTCATATTCCAAAATACCTGAGCTACTCATTAGCGAGCGTCGCTCGCTATAATTACAGCCAGAGCAAACATCTTCCACTAGTTATTCACAAGCTTTTCGCTCTTTTTTGTTTGGAATGGTATAAAAAAGGACTAGTGTTCTTCAGGTGAGCTGATCATTTTGATACCTGATATC